AGGCTTCACAGATGGGATGGAACATCAAAGGGAAAAAAAGTCGAGGGGAGGGGAACTGATGAGTGTTTCAAAGACGAAGGTTGAAAATTTAGAAAAATGTGATGTAGTACTGCGGAAGTGGTCGAATATGTCATACAGGGGGGGGGGCCTTGGTCGTTTGAAGTCAACTGCCGGTTAATAGACTTTTTGTCGTATGAGTATACGTTGCCCAGGGTGCACCNTTTGGACACTTACTGCAACTTGCTCCTGCTTCGTACGGTTTTTGATCAGGAAAATTGCCCCTTAAATGGAAGGGTAAATATTTTACCATTTCATAAAATACACATCCCACTTTGCATTGGAATAAATGATTAAAAAACTTACGATAGTTTATACTGGCAAGCATAGAGATATACAGGCCCCTCTTTGCCCTTGAAATACTGATCACATTGCTTGACCGCGCACCCAACACTGCTCGAACTAGACCAAACCATCTAATAATTCGAATGAACGCCAAGTCATTATTTGCAATGAAAATATTTAATTATTTATATCAAATGGCAGGCGTTTTGATGGTTATCGTTAGCTCTTTAGTTGACTTCAGGCTTCACAGATGGGATGGAACATCAAAGGGAAAAAAAGTCGAGGGGAGGGGAACTGATGAGTGTTTCAAAGACGAAGGTTGAAAATTTAGAAAAATGTGATGTAGTACTGCGGAAGTGGTCGAATATGTCATACAGGGGGCCTTGGTCGTTTGAAATCAACTGCCGGTTAATAGACTTTTAGCCGCATGAGTATACGTTGCCCAGGATGCACCACGTGGAGGTAAGTCTATCGCTCACCCCAAGAAATGAAAATATATGTACGCGCCCAACTAACTTACTTGTGTGTAATGTCCACACACTGCCGGAGGCGCATGAGTTCTTGTTGTAGTCGTAATACTTCCTCTCCTCATGACAACGGTCGATATACTGCGGGAAATCAATAATTGGGTTACCGTAGCTTATAGCAAGATTTTGACTAGTGTTCTGGTATAATTCATCGTCGATCGTGGGATGCACGAATTGACATTTTTTAACCCAAGTGTTGGCCAAATATTCCATCCTAGAATCGTATTTCTGCAGAAAAGAGAGAGAGGTTATTAGAGTGCTAATGTTCTTAAAATAAAAACCTGTTTGTTACTTACCATTGCAATCATATCTGACGCTGAAGGAGAGACATCCCTACGTGCCTGATTGTGGGAATTTAAAATTAATGCAACCTCCTGTGGAAGTGCCCTTCTGGCAGAGATAGAATAGAAATAAGCCAGTAATAAGATTACTTTTAGCATATTTCAACTCATTAGTCTTAGAACTTGCGCGTTGACTCTTATATCCTGCTCATCAATCTTATGACAAAGGTCTGCAAAATGGCTCGCTCCGATAAAATCACATGCCCTCAACATGACAATCCTCATTTTTAGTCAAGGTAATTGCAATAGCATATTGTATTATTTACTGCTCCGGGTATACTATAATTTTAGAAGTTGGAGAACGTAAATAAAGAAATGAGCACTTTTCACAACAATACTTAATCAATTCGTTTCTTGATAGTGTCAGCTCCAATTGTGATAATTTACAATCAAAATATTGAAATATCAAGGGCAAGAGAGGCCGGCGCACTAAGAATACCATGTGGATGCAAAGAGAAACTGAAAAAATATGATGCCAATAAATAGAGCCTAGTAACATCCATAAAGGACTGAGTCGTCTTTTGAAATGTCTATTTACTTCAAGTGACGAGCGTTTTGACAGTTATCATTAGCCCTTTAAGCTGACTTCGGGCTTAACGGAGAGGAGGAGGAACATCAAAGTGGCAAAAAGTCAAGATGGGGGACAGAATAATGATTCACAGATATAAAGGAGACAGACAGACTGACACAAAGGCAGAGAAAATGTAAGATGAGTACTGTGGAAGGAGTCGAATACGGCATAAAATCGGATCATGGTAGTTGGAAGTCAGAAGTCAACTGCCGGTTAATTGACTATTTTGCCGTATGAGTATATATTGCTCAGGATTCACTACGTGGAGGTAACTCTATCCACACCCCTCTTTTGAAATATACCATTGAGAGTTAATGTGAATTGCTACATTCCATTGCATCGGGTCATTATTTGGCCTACTTATCCAACCCTCCCCAGGAGATATTTAAAGCTTTTATTATTTCACCTGCATTCGATCCAATGTGAATGATACATTTATAATCACCTTTATCATTAATATTTTTTTCAAATGGAAACTCTTCCTGACAAAATTATCCCATTAATTTAGAGTCATCACAGAGACTTGTGAACTCTCAATCACTCAAACCGCTCTGTAGTGAAGACTATTTCATTGTATATGCCTCATTTGCGAGCATGCTAGCATTAAAATATTTGTGCAAACTTTCAAAAAGTGTTTCCTTTGCAGTGGAGCACAGGATATCGGTAGTGGTCTTAACAGTATTATGCCAAAACTCATAGTTTAGATGAAGTGGGGTGTACAATAGACTTACCTCCACGTGGTGCACCCTAGCAACGTATACTTATACGGCAAAAAGTATATAAACCGGCAGTTGCCTTCTGACTTCAAACTACAATGGCCCCACTGTTTCATATTCGACCCCTACCACAGTGCTCATCTAGCCTTTTCTCTGCCTTTGTGTTTGCCTGTCTCTTTTACATCTGTAAATCGCGATTCTTTTCCCCTTTCGAATTTTTCTCACTTTAATGTTCCTCCCTTCTGTGAAGCACGAAGTCAACTAAAGAGCTAATGATAACTATCAAAATGACTGCCATTTGAAATAAATAAATTAAGTTTAGATGAAGTAGTTATTGACTATTTCCTCAACTCACCTCTGCACCAATGCCTGAAATATTTGAAAATGTTCACTTCCACTTCATTTTGTCACGCCAAAGGGTCAGTTAATTATGTTCTCCTCGTGGGTTTATTGGTCAGAATTTAAGTCCAAATGTAAGGCTGTTTAAATCAATTGCTTTACAGTCAATACTAAAGCAACAATAGGATCTGCATCATTAATAAGTTAATACTTTGGTCATAACTTCTAATGATTCCAAGATTACTACCTAATTATCAAGTTCTTTGCACATGGTAGAACCTCAACAATGATATTTATGATCATTTGACAAACAATGAATAGCTTATTTAGCTCATTTTTATTAGTATCCATTCCTATATTTATAGTATAGCTGCGTAATTGAATGTCCAATGCATTGCTCAAATAACTGAATATCAAGTTTAATTGCATATAAATTAATTCACAGGTATGAACTGATGAAATTGTTGTTCAAATTTCCCTATTCAATCATTTGGGTTGTATGCTGTTATTTCATTCGCAGTAATTGCAAGCTCCACGAGTACTTGTAATATTTGATCAGAGACTACTTTAATCAAAATCGATATTGGATTTGATTTTGGATGAATTCTATTTTTAAAATAGCATTTTGACACTGTCCACATCGCCTAAGTGAGTACTCATAGGCACAATAGAAGTCCTTTCAATGCCTTACTCTAAGGCATATACACAAGCAACAGGATGAGCTCTAAACTTTATCAGGTAATAATTGCTTAGCAAAGTCTCCATATATCGATATTAGCAGGTAATTTTGCAGAAAAGATCAGTTTCATTGTGTATTGAAGAACTGCGATAATGCATGGCTTAACATTTTCCTCCACTTGCTCAATAATGAAACCAAAAATGTCATCTTCTGATGGGCTCATTGTGAAATAAATTAGAGTTGAGTGAGAAATACATTACCCTATTGGCATAATAATTGAATTTCAAATAAAGAAGCAACTTGAATTAATAAAACCACATTAGTGCGCATTGGGAAATTGCCATAACGCTACATTTGGCACCTATGATCACTAGTCACTCATAATGGTACAAAACGCAATTTATACTGTTTAGTTTTACAAAATAGAGAAAGTTGAATAAGTAATTTTCAGCACAAATTAAGTCATAAGGGGGGGGCCCAAGATAAGGAGAACACTTATTTATTTCTTGAATTTAATATTGGAACTTTGAAATTCATGGCAGAATGAGAAAACTGCTTTCTATGACCAGTCATGCGTCTATTTAAGCTGCATTTAAATTCGTTATTATAAAAAAATATTATGGCACCCCACACAAATATATTGCGCTGGATAAGATGAGACGGCGGGAAATATAGAGCGCGATCATGGCAATCAGCACCTAGTGCACGATTGTTCAAAAGGTACGTTATAAGTCCACAAGTTAATTGCAATTTCAATGTTAATTTCACATGAAACAAACGGATATAAACTAATGACGATTTTTGTACGTTTAGATATTTCAGTTAGTCAGGTGGTAAGAAGCGCGCCAGCATCCTTGTTCATCTGAAAGTGTAATGAGAGTGAAATCGCAGCACTCAGGTTGTCAAGACTGACCACAGGACAGTTTTCATTTGTGGTTATTTATGCGCTTGATAGAAATCAAAACAAGCACTAACTTGCTATAGTGTTCGGCGTTGGCATAATTAAAACGAAGCGTCGAAAATCAGATAAAATAATACTGTCTCCTGTATATGGCATAACTTTTCGTTTTAAACTGATTTAATTTCCCAGTTATTATTGATTCATGCTTTGAGTAGCTCGAATTACCAATGGGACATGACTCATCTGATTTTCTTACGTGCTTTTATGGCAAGCGTGCTCTGCGTAAATCATGAATTTATCAGCAATATTTTCCTAGTCTTTAGCTTCCCTTTTTCTACTATTTAATTTTTGATTGCTTCATATGTGATGAACTACTCGGTAATGCATGATAATTAGATTTGATGTACCAATGTAGGCATATCCATAAGTATGACTACTTTGACATTGAGCAGAGTAGAAATAATGAACCACAAATTTGCTTTCTATTAACCGCTGCCAAGTGTAAGTGTGTTGTGATTATAAAATGAAAAATTGACAGCAGAATGATTGTTACATAGGCTAAGCTTGAAGGCATAAGCCATTTTCCGTAGTCTCAACAGAGTTTGTGAATAGAGTTACCGATTTCTTCGGATTAATATGAGCATCCTACTCAAATAGGCAGTTCGTGTCACTATCATTAAAGAACGGTTCATACTTGTATCTTGTGTCTTGCACAAAGCATCGAGGCTAACATCTAACCATCGTTTGGAATATATTGACCATATAAGTGCTCCCTTTAGATTATTCGCAAGTCATGAAATTGAAGATGAGTTTATTGAAAGAAAGTGGAACATCATTAATAACTTATGTCTCGAATTAGAAGATTACGTTATTTTGTGAAATTTTGAAAGTTAGTATTCATTCTAACACTTGGAGATGGGTTTTTAAGCAATTCAAATGTATTAGAGATAGAATTTTAAGTTTGCATGTAGGCATATTGTCGAGAGTAAACACCATGACTGGATGAATTTTCCTTAACCATAAAAACCATGTCTATATGGGCAAAAAGGGAAGTTTTCCTACCACCCCCCACCCCCCACCCCCCACCATCTTCAGGCAGAGCCCCAACCATCAGCTTAATCTTGTATAAATTAAAATATTCAGCTTCGGTAAGTTGTAGCCAATTGATTCAAATAACTAAGTGGGTTAATTTTTAATCACAATAGGAAAATTTTCAAAAAAATAATCATTTGTGCTTTCACTTGCATAAACTTGGTCTTCCAAGTTCAATAAGGTCGAAATCATGAATATCAAGACACCGAAATGCACTTGCACTCCAATGACTAGTTTCCATATCTGTGTGATTGCTATTGGTTGATTAACAAACGTTACAATAATATTATCAACAATATTCACAGGTATTCGTCAAACGATTATAAAATTTCAACATTAAATTTGCCTAACGAATAAAATGATTCAATAAAGTTAATTAAATGATTTTTTTTAATTTCAAGATTAAAACGAAGTTTTATCGGTCAAATGAATGAGAGTGTAGCATTTTTTGCTCTCTACTGATCAGGAACGCACAATTTATCGCGGCATTTAGTTCCTTGAGGACAATTACTGCAGCTCTCACCTTTTTCATAGGATTGTTCTGCTTCTAAATCGGCGCTTAAATGAAAACAATGAGAATATTACCATCTCATAAGAGGAACTTTTAAATAGTATTGGATTCATTAATGAAAAACTTACGGTGGTTGATACTGACAAACATATAAATATATAGGTCCTTTGAGGCTTGGAAAATGTTTATCACATCTCTGCACCGCACAACCAACACTGTTCGAACCGGCCCAAATAGTCTAATTCAAAATATCTTAAGTAATTTTCCGAAAGGAAAATCTAATGCTTTTTGAAAGGAAGATTTAATTAAACATCTAGCTAACTAACTCTCATGTAGTGTTCGCAAACTTCACCGTGGTCACAGGAGTTATCTTCGAAATCGTAAAACTTCTTTTCCAAGAACCACTGGCCGATAGCATACGGAAAATACTCTGTAGGTAGACCGGAACTTAGATAGATATTTCGACTGGTATTCTGGTCCGTCGTATGGTCATCATCTTTGCAATTTTGAGCCCATGAATCAGCCAATGATCCCAGATCAGGACTGTATTCCTACAGACAAGAGAGAATTAATAAGTGAGAAATATACTAAAAATGCAAAAATATTTGGAACTTACCATCGCCAGCATATTTGACGCTGCAGGATCTACGGTACGACGAATCGAATTATGCGACCCTACGATCATTACTTCCTCAAGTTTTGTTGGTACCCGAGAATAGACAGGGTAGAAGTAAACCAGAATTATAATTAATTTGAACATATTTCAGCTTAAACGGGGTACAACGTACGCGAAGTCTTTTATATGCTGCTTTACTGTCCAATGGCAACAGTTCGTAGCATGATTCGCCTAGATCAAGACACATTGCTTCCACTTGATAATGCCCTTTTGAAGTTACGTTAGAGTGTTTAAAGTGTTTGGTATGGTTGTGATTACCTAGAAAATTGAAAAAAATGTAAATGCTTTGATGCCAAACAAGACTAAGGCATCTTTAGAAATATGAATTCGAAAGCACGCATGACAATACTTTCAAATCTCCTAATCTAAGGTATGCTTTCTGCTTAACCTTCATGATATAACTTATTCCTTCAACTCATTTCTTCAGCAATGTTTGAAAATTTCGGAAATTTCTTTGCTCTGCCCACTGTGCTAGACATTAAGGAATCGTTGCTTGTGTTCCGTAATATTATTCTACCATTAGACAAGAGAACTTCAAATGAGTGAAAGGGGTTATTTTACATCATCACCACAATTCTGTTGTTTCTACTATTTTGTGCAATAAATGGTTCGAATTTGATAGAATTCACATTGCTTTAAATACAAATCGATGCAGGATGATGTATTAATTAATTAAAATTCTAAACTAAACGGCAATCGTTTGCATTGTAAGCACCACGAAAATCTGTAAAAACGAGCACATTTCTTGAGAATTAACGGCACAATTGAATGCTTATTAATGTAGATACCAAGGCAATGGCAAGTCTCTCCATCCTTAATTAGCTTATAATTACATCCAAACTTCTCCTCATTTCAATGTTAGCACTTCATGGGATGTGCGATAGACTTACCTCCACGTGGTGCACCCTTGGCAACATATACTCATACAGCAAAAAAGTCTATATACTGGCAGTTGACTTCTGACTTCAAACTGCCATGACCCGACTGTATGGCGTATTCTACCACTTCCACAGTACTCACCTCTTTTTTCTCTGCTTTCTGTCTGCCTGTCTGTCTCGTTTACATCTTTAAATCTCTCTTCTGCTTCCTCCCCTTTTGACTTTTTCTCTCTTTGATGTTCCTAACCTCTGTGAAGCCCGAAGTCACCAAAAGGGCTAATGATAATTATCAAATCGTCTGCCATTTGAAAGTTATGTTAGCATTTCATTTGTTTAGAAAATATCATCTTCACTATGTACCGGAGAACTGTCATAGTTGCACCTTTGATAATTGGGACAATTTGCCAAATAAAGAATTCTTCTAAAGTTTTTCGTGCTCGTCTGTTTTACAAATAAAATGAGATTAAATATGAAAATAATTACTCTAATTTCATTTAAAATATAATCAAAACTTGGGATATAAATTAATGGTTTAATTGCCCAAAGAGGCGATAATGTTATTAGTTTATACAATTTTCGAGAATTCAATACTGCTCCTAAGGAGTTTAAGACCGCCTATAAAAATGGAATATTATAAAACCTCCATTTCTAAATGTACTCACTGTGATTTAAATGATGATTGACACTTAATTAGGAAAAATAAAAAATCGAAATAACTTTATCTGTTTTACTTATTTCAGTTTCCCATGTCATTAAACCGTTCTACACATTATTAGTCTTCAGTATAAATCGACTCGAAAGGCATTTCTCCTTATTGTAATGGTTAAAATAAATAAAGATAAGCAGTCTTGAAATATTATTGCTCAATCGGAAACACTCTTTGATATGTTGAGAGAAAGTGGCTACTTGTTGGTTAGTTGATCTTTGCGGCCTAAAACCTGCTAGTTCACTCCTAAGAATATTGTTAGACTCAAGGAAACAGGTCAGCTTCCTCTTAACCATTCTTTTCATAAGTTTAGCCAGCACGCTTGTGGGGGAGATAGGCCTAAAGTTGTCAAAGTTGCTAGGATCTTTGCCATTTTTAGTACTGGTGTTACTATGGCAACTTTCCATTGGTTGGTAAGTACTGGTGTTACTATGGCAACTTTCCATTGGTTAGGTACGAGACTGGTCTCCCAGATTTTGTTGAAGAGTGTCAGCATGGCCTCCTTGGCTTTTGGTCTCATTCCAATTAGAAATTAAGGATGAATACCGTCTTCGCCAGAAGACTTTTAGCACCTTAGCTGTATTATCGCAGCATTAAGTTCGCAAGGTCTGAATGGTTCAGAAAGTACATTATTTGGTGTTGTGGTGTCTTCCTAAGTTTCACCAAACTTCTTAACTTGTATCTTTATATCTTTTGAATGTTTTCTGTCGAATGGGTTTTTCTTTTGCTTGTGGGAATAGAACCTTGCAAAGCAGTTAGCTATTTCGGAGTCGGTGGTGAGCAGTTTGTTGTTTAATCGTATTGGTTCCTTCTTGAGACTTTCCCTGTTGTTTTGGAGGTTACCCAGGAATTTGAAAGTACGTTGACTTTCATTTTGATAGTTGATATTTGAGATGAACTTGTCGAAGGAAGTCCGTTTGGCTTGTAAGATGGCTTGCCTTAGTACAGCTGACTGCCTTCTCCGGCTTGTACGTCTTCCATTCTTCCAGTGTATTCAGCAATGACTGGTTTGTGGCCAGAACCAGGATCGTCAATTATTTTGCGGCGTGTATGCTCGCTGATGTCGCTTGAAGCCAGGAGTAAGTCAGGAGTTGTTCTGGTTCCATTGTAGTGCACATACGTAGCTGGATCCTCATTGCTATAAATAAGTTCTAGACTGTTGCTGTTTAGCGTGTCTTCGATTTCCTTTCCAGCTATGT